ATTACAGAGAGGGATGCCTAAATGGAACTGAGACATCTTGATCTTATAACATATTTTGCACAATGTCTACTTAATATATTATTGTACAGCTGCTTCAGAAACAATGAAACCAGTTGCAAATGTTAACAGGATATTGGAGGTCCCTTTTAACAACTAGAAAGAAACACCACATGTACACAGAAGCGCATGAAATTTACAGATCTCACTGGATTTCATTAACAAAGGCTGTTTTAAAACTACTCAATACTTCCATCGTGTATACTTAACGTTATTTATTTATTTTTGTCACAATGAGAAATGTTATGAAAATCCTCATTTGGGGTACTTGGGTTTTTGTTTTTTTCCCCATTTTATCCTGATGCTGACCTTGGAGCTGTACCTCACAACTCCCCCATAGCCTGCTGTAGTACTTCTTTTCCAAGCCATGCTTTTCCCGTTGCCTAGTCAGGATAGGGTCTCTACGGTTTGTGGGTTTTTTTAGGTATTAGAGACTGAGTTTATGCCTCATTGGGTGAAATTTCAATGTAGAAAGTGTGTTTTCTGTGAGATTTTAACATCAGCTGTACCTTATCATCCCACAGCATAACAGGAAATTGTTTAAAAGTAAAGAGCCTAGCTCATTTGTGACAGTGTCACATGCTCCGATTTTCATAACCAAATTTCTCATATCTGTAAATTTCCATTTATTTTAAGAGCGTATAATTTGTGTTTCCAGGCTTCCCCCTTCCATTAAAAGTATTTCCTTCCTTGGCTTATCATAAACAAATCAGGCTAGCCTGTTATTATTTATCTTAAGGCAGTTTTTTTTAAACATAGTGTCCGCCTTTACCTCTGCTCTTTCATCTTCCCACACTTTTTATGCTGTGTAACTTATATTCATTATCAGTATCTTCTCTGCAAAGGGGGAGAAGGGAAATGATAGAGTTGGGAGCTTCTGAGTAGGGAAAGCTTTGGGGTTACAGGGGGAATGCCACTGAGGGTTGACGGTGGATGTATGAAAGGACAGTCAGTGGCAAATGGACAGCATGAATCTGTACTGGAGACGGTCACCCTGGTTTCATGACTCTTCTCCATGACAATGTGGGCTGCTCAGAAGCAGAGAAAACAAAAAGGAGGCGAGGAGGGCTGATGAGAGGCATAGTAAACCTGGTTATGTCACTCCTCCGCTTAGAATCCTTCAAAGGCTTTCCATTCCTTAACATGACCTTGGACAGCCTCCACCACCTGGCACTGCCTAGTTCTCCAGCCTCCTCCCTTGGCTTTCGAAGTCCCATGACCCTGGCCAGTTTCTTCCATCTTTGTGCCTTTTGGACACACCATTCCTTTCTTCTGTCTTTCCTTATTCCCACCCCACACCTTTTGCTTCAGCTTAAAAATCACTTCCTCAGAGAAGTCTTTCCTGACCCCCAAATCCAATCAGGACATTGTCACTGTAGTCTCTCAACATTGGCTTTACTTGTCTTTCATAAAACCTATCCTAATTATGTTTATTTGCATGAATACCTTTTTCATATATGGAAATAGTTCTATGTAGGCAGGGACTTGGTCTGTTTTTTAAAATTATTTACTTAGTTTTTTCAGTTACAGTTGACATTCAGTATTATTTTATATTAGTTTCAGTTGTACAGTATAGTGGTTAGACATTTATACATTTATGCAGCGGTCCCAATTAGTCTGGTACCCATCTGGCATTATACATAGTTGTTACAATATCATTGACTATATTCCCTATGCTGTACTTTACATCCCCTTGACTATTTTGTAACTGCAAATTTGTATTTCTTAATCCCTTCACCTTTTTCACCCAGCTCCTTTCTGGCAACCATCAGTTTGTTCTCTATATCTATGAGTCTGTTTCTATTTTGTTTATTTTGTTCTTTAGATTCCACATATTAGTGAGATCATATGGTATTTGTCTTTCTCTGTTCGACTTGTTTCACTTAACATAATACCCTCTAGGTCCATCCATGTTGACGCAAATGGTAAGATTTCGTCTTTTTATGGATGAATAATATTCCATTGTATATATGTACTGCAATTTCTTTACCAAATTGTCCATTGATAGGCACTTAGGTTGCTTCCATATCTTGGCTATTGTAAATAGTGCAGTGAACATAGGGATGCATATATCTTTTTGAATAAGCGTTCTGAATTTCTTCAGCTAAATACCCAGAAGTGGAATTGCTGGGGCATATGCTCGTTTTATTTTTAATTTTTTGAGGAACCTCCATACTGTTTTCCATAGTGGCTGCACCAATTTGCAATCCCACCAACAGTGCATAGAGTTCCCTTTTCATCGCATCCTCACCAACATTTATTTGTTGATTTATTGCTGATAGCCATCCTGACAGGTGAGGTGATATCTCATTGTGGTTTTAATTTGCATTTCTCTGATGATAAGTGACGTTGAGCATCTTTTTCCTATGTCTATTGGATACGTGTATGTCCTCTTTGGAGAAATGTCTATTCAGTTCCTCTGCCCATTTTTTAATTGGATTTATTATTTTTTTTTGGTGTGGCACTTGGTCTGTTTTTTTGTTTGTTTGTTTGTTTTTTTCCGTGGTTATTGGGTTTAATTTTCCCCTCAGTAGACAATAACCCGCGGAGACCCTGATTCCCTCTCTTCCTCCGTGGAAAGTCAATCCCAGATGTTGGTCTGTTTTGTTGATTGCTAAATTCCCAGCACCTAGCCTAGTGCCTGTCACCAGCAGAAACAGCAGGAACATTGAACATAAATTTACTGAATTTATTGAATGAGTGAATGAATGGCAGGAAGTTAGCTATGGGAACTTGGGCAAGTTTTTTGTTTTGTTTTTAACTACATCTCCATTTTCTCATCTGTTAAATGGGGATAATGATAATAACTACCAACCTCAGAATTGTCATGCATATTAAAAGAGACAGTGCATGCTTAGCATGGTGCCTGGCATATAGTAAGGGCGAGGAAATGTTAGTTACTATTATCAACATTAAACATAAGCTCTATGAGCAACCAGAACTTTCAGACATTGCTGGTAGCAATGCAAAAAATGATACAGCCACTTTGGAAAACGTTTACCAGTTTCTTATAAAGTTAAACAGACTTAACACACAACCCAGCAATCCTGCTTCCAAGTGAAATGAAAACATGTTCACACAAAAACCTGCACATGCATCTTTATAGCAGCTTTATTCATCATCGCTCAAAACTGGACACAACCCAAATACCCTTAATCCAGGGAATGGATAAGCAAATGGTGGTATATCTATATAGTGGAATACCACTCACCAAGAAGAAATGAACTACTGATACATGCAACAATATGGATAAAACACAAGTGCATTATGCTATGTGAAGGAAGCCAGACTCAAAAGGTGACCCATATTGCATGATTTCATTTATATGACATTCTGCAAAAGTCAGACTATAGGGACAAAAATCAGGTCAGTGTTTGCCAGGGGCTGGAGTGGGGCATGAGGGAATTTGGGGGGTGGGAGGGATGATGGAACTGTCCTAGAACTTGATTGTTGTGGTAGTTCCATGACTATACACAGCTGTCAAGACTCACAGCATTGTAAATTAAATGGGTGAAATGTATGAAAAAAATGTAAATAATCCATGACAGGTGGATATAATTATCTTTTTTTTTTTTTTTAAAAGGCATTTATATTTCTGATTATGAAAGTACTACAGGCTCATTGTAGACATTTTGGGGAAATGTACAAAGAATGTACATGCCATCATCTGCAGAAAAGTAATAATTCCTTGCTGTCATTTTTATAGGCACAAAATACACACATACACTGGGACCATGCTGTACATTTTTGCTTTCTAAAATATACATTTTGTTTTCTGAAATATTTTATGCACATTTTTCATGTCATTAATTTTCAACCACGATTTTATGAGCCAGTAATATTCTATTGTATAGCTGATTTTTATTTTTATTTTTTTAGCTGAGCCATCCTGCTACCTATTGGCAGCTTAGCGGCAGCTCAGCTTGGGCCAGGCATCGAACTGCTGTTGCTCAGAGCGCAAACTCTTGAGCTAGCTCTTAACCAACTGAGCCACTCAGCCGGCCCTGATTTATATTTTTAATCCTTCCTTTATTGTTAGAAATTTTGTTTCTTTCATTTTTTTACTACACTTTCATTAACAACAACAACAAAAAAGGCGCAGGGGGGCCAGGGACTCTTCCATCATGGAGTTTCACAACGTTTAAGTGGTAAAAAAACAACTCTTCCTTTGACTGCAATTCTGTCATTGTTTTAAGTTTCTAGAGAGGAAAAGTGGTTTCACAGGGTGATCTAGTCTCTTTTTTATTTTGTGATGCATAAGAGCTCTACACCCTAATATTACCTGTATTACTAGCTTAAATTGCATAGTGCTTTTTATATTTAACCTCGCCACATCCTTGCAGGGTAAGCAGATGGAGTAATTTGTTCAAGATCACAGAGCTTATCAGTAGTGGAATGGGACTCCAGAGAGTAAACGTTTCCCCAGCGGCGGGGCACTGCCTAATCTGGCTCTGCCTCCTACCCCTCCCCCAGGAGGAAGCTGCAGACACCCCCAGAAAACTGCCTAGAGGCTTGGCACACCGGGAACTTAACTGTCAAGTGGACGCTGTCCCACACTACATCGCCACTTACCAGCTGGGGTCATTTCTCCCCCGATGGCAGGGGGACCCCTACTGCCACTGACCAAGGGGGCCCTGGTAGCTGAACAATCGCCGGCTTCGCGGCCCGTGAGTTTGCTGTCAGTCGGTCGCGACGGTGCTGTGCATACCCTCACTAGAGGGTCCTGCCGGGGCAGCCAGGCCCCCCACAACGCCAGGGTCCTCAGTGGAGGCGCGCCTTCGGCGAGGTAACGAGGGCCCCCCACCATCTTAAGGAGAGCTAAGGGCAGGTAGGGGCCGCCGGACTGCAGGGCTGCCGGGAAAGATTCGCAAGAGGTGACAGGAATGCCTCCTCCGGGCAACCAGAGGTCAGTCCTCCGCTATCCCAGAGTGCCCCGGATCCCGGAAGTGCCTGGCTTCCGGAAGTGCCTGGCTAGCTGACAGCGCTAGGCTTGCCTGAGCGCTGTAAGGGGCGAGGTTGCTGTTCTGTGGCTTAAGTGACTGCAGGAGGTCCGACTCGGGGTTGAGGTGGGCCCTTGGAGGAGCTGGGCGGCGGGATGATGGAGGAGGAGGAACTGGAATTCGTGGAGGAGCTGGAAGCCGTGCTGCAGCTCACTCCCGACGTGCAGCTCGCCATCGAGCAGGTGAGCGTTCCGCCCCCTGACGGGAGGAGAGTGCGGAGGACCAGGCAGCCCTGGGGATGGGACGCGGAAGAAGCGGTCTTTGGACCGAGAGGTGGGAGCTAGGCACTGAAGCGAAAGGAAAGGTTTGAGGGGAGGTGGTGGTGGGAAGGGGTTCCAGCATCTAGGGGAGAGAGAGAGAGCCCTTTTTAGGCCTTGATGGTCTCTGGAGGGTGGGGCGACCTGGTGCGTTTAGGCAAATTAATAGCTCCTTGAAAGGATGAACCTAGAAGTGGACTTCATAGGTAACAACCTCAGACTTGGGGGATTGTAGAGCTGTTCATTCATTTGCCAGGCTGGTGTGCCGCTTGCTCCCTTGTGAGTGACTCGGAATTGGTGGGAGGGGGTAAATTTAATTTCTGAAGCGTTTGCAGAGCAGAGGGAAACAGCTGAAAAAGGACCCCTTTACCATAAATGCTTGAGAAATCCTGCTGTTGATGAGTCGGGGTTAGGTTGAAGAATATTCCAAAGAAGGCTTCCTTCCCCGCAGGGACTCTTTAGTTTATTAACTTCTCTTTTCAAGTTTATTGAGTTTTTTTAAGAGTAATGAATGATATTAGAAATAGTGACTTAGGCCCTTGAAGAAGGTATTGCTCCTGATAAAGGAAGATCTCCCTTAAAAGAATTGGCATAGAGGATGTAATGTAAGAAAAGGAGGGTAATGGCACATTTAACAACCCCTGGGAAGTTTTCCGAAGCAAAACATTATAACTATTAGTTAATATTATTTGTATAATAATATACTAATAGTTAATATGTATTGAACATTAACACTTACTATGAGTCTGCCACTATACTAAGTCATTTATTTGTATTGTTCCATTTGTAGATTTTTGGAAGTGTGTTTTTCTAGGAGTGGTTGAATTACCCATACAAAGCATATTTGGCGCATCCTGAGGATGTCAAACAATTGGGCAAGGTTTTGGTTTTGAGGCCACACTGCTCCCCAACCACTTCTATCTGCCAAATAAAGACATACATTTTATTTGCTTTTTGGACCAGGTGGACTCTAATGTAAGAAGCAAATATGATTTGCAGTCAGTTATTGTTTGACAAGGATTTTAGAAGAGCACATTTTTGCTATTAATAAGATTGAGTGCTAGCATAGGTTTATCTAATAAGCAGACATCAGAAAAGTTAGTTTGCTTCCCAAAATACAACTACCTGGGGAAATCCACTACCCAGGGGATCATTTGAATGCTTTTATAATCCACCTTGTTACATGATCAAGTGCAATTTTTGAAGGGAGTTAGCTATATTTCTCAGAAGGCAGCATTCTTCTGTTAAAAAGAGGGACAGTTCGGGGCGGGCCGAATGGCTCAGTTGGTTAAGAGCACGAGCTCTGAGCAACTGGATCGCTGGTTCAATTCCCACATGTACCAGTGAGCTGCTCCCGAGCTGAGCTGCCGCTGAGCTGCCAAAGGTGGCAGGACGGCTCAGCTGCTGAGAGCACGTGCTCCTAACAACAAGGTTTTCGGTTTGACTCCCGCATGGGATGGTGGGCTGTGCCCACCCACAACTAAGATTGAACGCGGCACCTTGAGTTGAGCTGCCCTGAGCTGCCAACTGGTGGCCGGATGGTGACTGGACTTGGAGCTGAGCTAGCTAGCTGCGCCCTCCACAACTAACATTGAAGAACAACAACTTGGCTGGTCCCCTTCCCCAATTCCCCAACACTGTTCTTCCCCAATTCCCCAATTAAAAAAATAAATCTTTAAAAAAAAAAAAACAGAGAGCGGGACCGTTCCTGAATGCCAGCTGTCCATTTCCTGACACCATCCGAAGAATAAAAATTGCCTCAATGCATAGTGAATTCTATTGCTGAGACTTCATTGAGACATAGTATGTGTCTGTTATTAAGACTTCCTTAATACAACCATGTCATCAGCTGGCTTAATCCGATACGCACAATGCCCACTTATTTTTCATTGTCCTTGGATTTTGTTGATATCTGTGGAACTTTTCGTGGTTGCACATTGTGTTAATTGCACCAAGATGTTAAAATTATGTTGATGAAAATTAAAGATATACTTTAACAGGTATTTTATCGAGCATCTGTTGTGTGTTAAGCCTTATAAAATGTTAAAAGATATCGTTTTTGCCTTCAAAGAATTTCCCACCCGGTAGGGAGAAAAGAAGTAATACGTAAAACAAGACAGAAAGGTGACAGTTTATTTCTAATCCCCTATCTTTGTATAGGTATTTCCAAGCCAGGATCCTCTAGATAGAGCCGATTTCAATGCTGTGGAGTATATCAATACCCTGTTCCCAACGGAGCAAGTAAGTATAGTGTTTCCTTCATTTCAGGGGCTTCTGGCTCATCCTTAGTGTTATGATCTGTGTGTTTTACTACATAATCTAAGGGGTCTTTATAAACAAAGAGAGTTACATTCAAGTCAAATTCCATTGAAAACAATTGGGGTGGGGTGGAGTTAGCTAATACCAAATACTGTTGTTGTGTTAGGGCAGAATTCTTTGTATAGCATATCATTAGAATTTGTACCCTTAGGTTGCAAGAGTCCCCCGTTTTCTGTAGTGAATTGGGAAGTGGGAAGGATTTTTAAAATGTAATAGGGAGAAGTAGGAGCAAGGTGGGCATCATAAGCCTGGAGTCGTAAAGCTACTTTCACTCCTGCTTCAAGATTTAAATATTCAGAATTTTTGTTTTGTTTTGTTTTGTTTTGACGGATAATTTGCCTAAACATGTGGGTTTTTCTTACAGAGTTGGTTCTGGGGTGTTTGGGTGAGAAGTAGACTTTAATTAGAAGCAGCAGAGCTGGAAGAAGGTCAGCTAGAGTTCTGCTTGGTTTTTCATTGATTAACTCAGCAAATATTCAGTGGGCACCTGTCAGGTGTTGTCAGTTACCTTGCCAGGCGCTGGGGATTCAAAGATGAATGAGACCCAGTCCATGCCCGTAAAATGTACAGGATTAATTGGGGGAGACATTGGTGAACGCTGTGAGAGAGGTATGTAATGGTTCAGTGAGGAACAAAAGAACAGTTCTTCCTAGGAAAATCAAAACCTCAGAGAGGAGACAAGCCCTTCTTCCAAGTCTTAAAGGATTTGTTCATTTATTTAGTCAAACTCAGCCATCATTTAAGTGTCTATTAAGTACCGGGCACTATTTTAGAAACTGGGGAGAAATGGTAAATGTGACAAGTAAGTTCCTGGTCTCATGGAATCTAGTGTGGGGAAGAAGAGAATAAACAAATGAGCAAATAAACTAGAAATGATCAAATATGATTGATGCTATGCTAAAAGATAGGTGCAGTGATAGAGCATGACAGCCTTGGGGGTGGGGGACTCCTTTCGGTGGACGGTCAGGGAAGGTCTCTGAGGTACTTACCCTTTAAGCTGAGACCCGATACCTGTGAAGGAGCCAGGCTTGTGGCAATCTGGCAGAATATTATTCCAGGACCGGCCAAGTGGCGCGTTGGTTAGAGCTGGCTTGGGACGTCAGAGGGCCCTGGTTTGGATCCCACATATGATGGCCAGTGACACTGCCCTCTACAGCTAAGATGCTGAACAACAGCTCGACCTGGAGCTGGGCAGCCATGAGTTGCCGGCGACGGCGTAGGCTGCAGCCCCTGTGGCAGTGGGTTACCATGGGCTACCGTGTGTAGCCAGCAGCCAGCCTGAGCGGCCAGCAGCCGCCGTGAGCAGCCGTCCAGAAGCCGCCAACTGATCTGCCTC